ATGACTATTTCTAATTCTCTACGCCAGATCGATCTCCCTCAAAAATATACATATTTTGAACATTCCCCTATCTTCGTAAAACAAGTTTCAAGGTCATTTGCGTAGTAGAAGTGAGACCTGTACTGTTCCGACAGGCTGTCCAAGCCTGACCCAATAGGAACCACCTTCTAGGCGTCAGCTCAAGGTCAAGCCAATTCTAATTACGCGGTTAGGCATCTTACTTAGACAAACATGTCCACGTTAGGGCAGTTAGTGGAACATGGGCCTTGATTAGTACTAAAACGTTGGTTACATTTTGTGGCGTGAAATCCCATTGTGGAATGAGAAACGGAGCGACGAGTTCAAGCACATAGCAGAAATAATGCTGACCACGACCCAAAGATTCAATAAGGAAATGATCTTCCATAAGCATTTCTATATGAAGACGATCACGATACTACTGTCTTTGCATTAAACAGTCCAGCGAATGTTGAAACTGTTGGTGTGAAGAGCCTGCAGCAGCACCACCGTGCCTTAAATGGCTGCTCCTTGGCTACGTTGACACTTGAGCAGGTTTGACGGGAGACAAATGAGCGTTTGCTTGAGCTGACACTACCCCAAACAAAACTGATTGTCTACCTTCTAGCTTAAATCAACTTTTTTTGGAAAGCGTATGCAGACAGGAACCTGGCGTTTGGAAAAACATCACGAACAGCACCCTGCCAACGCCAAAATTCGCCTTTCAAACTGGAGCAACTCAGCTGGCATGTCATTCGGACGATGATGCAACCTGTTTTTACACATTTGAGCATAAATAGTTCAGTCTCGTCGGGGTTTTAGGCAAAATAAAAGTCGGTTTTTTCGAAAAAATGGGCATTTCCATAAACTTTCCCAATGTAATAGATTTTTAGGCAACAAGGGGTGAGCATATTTGAGTCCCGTATTTTGATTGGTGCAAATATGAGCAGCACAACTGGATGCAAGTTTTTCCCAACCACTCATAAATTGCAAAACGGACTATCGTCGTCCAAATGTCTAACCTAAGATGGCTAATTTCGTGACTCGCGCCAAACTCAAGCACCCAAGTGGATTTCACCTACACTAAAGGGCGCAATTTTAAGGTCAAAAGTCGCCATTTTGATCCATTCAATTCATATCCTTACTTGTAAAGTCGTCTAAACTAGGAAAATGAGAGCCGAGGTTCATGGAATATTAGCAATATAGCGCTGACAAAATCAACTGCGACTGTTCTTGTCTCAGGCGAAGTCGACTGAGCAAGGGATTAATTAAGACACGATTTACCCACTGTCGATTATCCGCAGTTACTGACGCCGAGCAATTAGAAAAGACAGATGCTAACCGGACAGTTTTCCAATACCATTTGTATGCTATATAGTCACAGACCTTATAATGTTTGTCTTATCACAGTAATTTAGTACATGGTTTGTTTTAGGAAGCAGCATTTTAGACTGGCGGAAATTTAGCTTGCACTTTGTATACCTTGGTACTAAAAGATTCAATTTAAAGTGCGTAATTTGTGAATAAACCTACAGTGCGTTAGGAGAATCTATACATTGGAGGTCAAGTTATAAGTTCATGCAAATTTGTTCTTATTTCCTTTTTTAATTAATTTCAAACCACACATTAATTTGAGTAATTGTACAACTAGCAAAAAAATTTCTTCATGCACATATTTTTAATGACTGATAAATTTACTAAACGTTGGTCTCACGGAGACACTATGCAGGATTTACTTTGTCAGTAATTGAATGTAAGTGCAAAACATTTGATATTTTGCAGAACAAAAAAGCAGAGGTTTACTAATTTGATCATAGCATTAATTTCAGCTAAAGAATTAACTTGGTTAAAATAATACTTGAACCTCAGACTAATTTCCCTGTTACAAAGCTATTATAAATTAAATTCTAATGTTTTTCGAAAGATCTGTTTGGTTAAAAGCAAACAAAAAGGGTTACGTTTAGCATAAAAACATTGTGTATTCAGAATAAGAATTTGACGTGAAATTCTGACAAAAAAATTACGGCCGTCACCTTGAAAGGCTTTGACCAAATCCACAAACGTAAACAGAGAGCCTTTTATTTGGTTTGAGCTAAAAATTGACTTTTAACAAAACTGGTCTTAATATAAGGATAGAGATTATCACTTTTTAACAAATAAAAACGACTGCAAATAAGTTGACCCAGCTCGACAAACAAAACGAATTAAGTCAAATAGCGTTCAATATCAAACATAAAGACAAAATTATTAACAACGTATTAATTAACTTACTATACGATTTTTATCTGAGAAATCAGGTACAGCGTATTTCCGACTTTGAGCTGCTTGGACCGAATTTGAAAAATAGTTAATAATGGGTTTTCCGGATGGGTCTGTCCACATTAGCTGCTCGTGGTCGTGGCCAGACGTGTTACCTATAACGCAGCATACGATGACAATCCGTCCACCTTCAGAAACCATGCGACTCGGTGAACTACCCAAAACCGACACGATGTCGGGATTTTGGCAGAAACCATTTGATTGTGCTCCAGGCCACGATGTCAGAACCGAGCTGGCATGCGCAGATGTCAGATATAGGGTAAGAAAGGAAAGTGCTACCAGCATCCTTTTGGAAATTTAGAACAAAAAGAATTGCTGTTACTAACAAAATAATGAAGTGGCAAGAAATTATTTAGCAAAATTTTACAGAATGCTGTAAGTTAGTATCCTTGCAACTGCTTATACTACTAAAAACATAAACATTTTAAAAAGCAAAAAAAATATACTGCACATGAAACTTTGCTCGTAGTAACTGCATAAATACCAGAAAAACCTAACACAAATATATGCGATAGGTTGCAGACCGGACCTAGCAGTAAACGCGGAACTGACTAAAATTCAACGTCCCAACTGCTGTCTATGCCATAACTCACAGTGCAAATAACTCTGAGAAAATAAAAACGTACGTTGTGTTAAAGAAAATGACTTGATCGACAACTTTCAAAATGACGACTATTTGTCATCATTATGCTGAGGACGAATGAAATTGACCAATTCAAACAAAATTAAAAAAGAAATTAAAGCTAATTTGCCACATTTAAATATAATATAAAGTTGTTTAGAGCACATCTTATAAGTTTAATATGTTTGTCGTTAAATTTTAGGCCCCCTAAACTCATTTTCCTGTTTTATCATTCATTTATATGGATTTTAACGGAAAAATGAAAATTCACAAACACGGTTACATTTGCTATGCGTATTATTTACTTTTAGGTAAAAACATTAGGAATTTCTAAAATTATTTGCAAAAGATCATCCTGACTGAAGTTGCGAAGTGAAAATCGATTAACCTGAAACAGAATTACCTTGTTCCGTGTATTCCTGTAAATACATGGAATTAAGAATGCATTAAATAAAAGAACATTTTTTTCACGTACACACGGTTCCTTTCTTAAAATGAAATATTTGGCTATGTTTACTCTCAAAGAAACCATTTTGCGAAATTAAAATAGTTATTTCCTTTTGATCAGATATATTTGTTAACCCTAGCGTCATTAAGAACGTGTTTTAAAGGACTTTTTAAGTAACGATGAGCACAACTTTAAGATATTTAGCGCTTTTAATATGAAAGCGTCTAGAAGTTATTTAAAAGGATTAATCAATGGTACGGAAGCCTACTGACTGTTTCTTTAACCTAAAAATTTTGAGCCGTCCTAGCAATTAGTCAAATGTTGCTTTTTTAGATCCTTTTGCTTACGTACTATATCCTGTGTAGGTCAACACAAGCTTTTTACATGCTATTTTTACACAGAAGTACATCCCATTTCAGTTTAGGGTAGAGGAACTTGGAAGATGACTTCTCACTGTACTAGCTGCGAAACAAGAAAGAAATTTCCTAAAAGTTTTTAGTATTATTGCTATCGCATTGTAACCTTTCCACATTAATACTTTCGAAAAATTTGCAAAATGGTGACGTCTTTTGCAAGAAAGCGTCATGGTAAATTCAACTCCCAATACAATTTGATGCGGCTGAGAACGGAACGAAACTTTCCACTTCTTAGATTTCCATTGCCAGAAATCCACAATTTAAAAAGTATTTGGATGCTTCTGGCATCAAATAAATCTAGGAAAATTAAGATGTAAACTCAAACCTCCTCAAGCTTGTTACTTAAACTTCCGTCGGGTCCAGAACCTGATATATGGGTCCTCCACGATTCGTCTAGACGACAGTTTACAAATTCGTTAAATTCAAAAGGACAACTTAAAATAAACTTTACGTAGATGTAGTAAAGAAGAGTGTCAAAATTAGTCATTGCATGTGCACTGAATCGTGTTGAATCCAGTCCATCCGCTACGACACCGCATTCACGGCAATCCTATCAGGCACTAATATATCTCTGTGCACGTACCATCCCCATTTGACCATTCACACATGTTTATTTTTACTACTGCATCCAGACTACGAGATTTAATTATAGACTAGCCAGTGAGACCAATTACTTCTGAAGGTGCCATGACTTGTTCTAATCTCTCCTCTTCACGGAAGAAAATACAATGAACGGTTAACCATGAATTGAACGATTAACCCAGCAACCACCTACAGCTACTTCCAACTGGTAGAGCTGAACTACAAAAGGGCTGTGATTTGAAAGCAAGAGTATCATCACTAGCGTCATTCATGAATGGTGCACACCCCGACACTAAATCTGTCAGATATAGACACGAGGAAGAAGGCATACAAGATAAAACCTGAGTAATTAATTTCATTGAGGTCATTAGCGCAAACCCCGATTGCAGCAAGCAAAACACGCAATTTCAGATATTACTAATTTGGCCAGTGAAACACTAAAACGGTATAGGGTCATGCAAAGAAATAGTGACACTAACAAAGAATACCTGAGTGGCATAGGTACTTTTATAAGAGGGTGAAGAGTGTAAAGTAAAATTTAGAAGTGGATGATTTAAGGGAGGAGCGCCGATTAAAAGTGGCAAGTGTTAGACACGAACGTTGACACAAACACTAATTACCGGATATCTGTAACACACGCCTCATCAATCTTCTTCCTAATTAAATGGTAAGCATTCTTATACTTATTCCACTGAATAGACAGCTTGTCGAGCATTTCATTTGACCCCGGAGATTTGGGTGTCATTGATTTGCTCTCCTCCAGCAGCCTCTGCAATTCAGATTCAGCTGAATCAAGATCATCCATCAGCTTCTTGTTTTCCGGTTCATCCTGAATTTTCTTCCAATAACGATCACGGGCAGCTTCATATTCGGTGAAATCGACCAACTTAAACCAATGGCCGCATCTACATCGCTTTGGGAGGCCCCTGTAAAGGAGCAAATAACTGATATGATGGCCTTCTTCGTGACCTAAAAAGGAAATATGTTTGAGCTTTCCAGTCGAACCCTTGAAAATAGCTTTTTCTTATAAGAAATTGTCATGCGCCAACGAAAAGAATTGTCAAATGAGAGGGACGCTTTAAATTACTGTTCCGAAAAACACAGTAAAAAGCAAACAAGTGAATGGTGGGAAAGAAAACAACGGATATGGAAACAAACAAACATACACAGACACCCAACAATACGTCTTTCTTCACCAAAAGGAATTAAGTTGGGAGCTTCCTTGGTTGTCTGACCACCTCGACGAACCTTAAATTCACGATAGTTTATCTAAATGTTAATAGTAGAGAATAAAACATACATCCGCTTCCTCTATCTGTTCCAGCAACTCTTGTTGAATGGTACTAAGTGACTTGGAAGGTTCCATATCGAGAGGACAATCAACTAAAACATACATGTAATACGCAACATACTAGCACCACCACGTAGAATGTCATTCGATATTACAAAATTTCGGACACGGGAATAGACGCTATCATGTGGAGCACTACAGGCAGAAGTGGCGAATAGGCGCGTTTTTGTCCACAGCCGCAGGAACCGAGACGATGCCATTCAGGAAACAAAAAACGATCAGACGTTCCTAGCAGTCAAATTACGACAGAAGTTAACCAATCAGGAATGAGATCAAGGAAAAAGCTTGCTGATTTAACCGGCTTCGAATTTTCCTTAGCCATACACGACAAAAATATTAAAAAATTTAACATTTTGGCATAAAATCAATTTTATTTTGCATTTAAAATGAACTAAACTAATGTTTCAATGCAAAATTATAGGATGATGCAAAAATCATGACATTTATTGTAAAAATATCTAAAGTAGGTTTTCTATTGGTTATCGTAATTCTTATTTACTCTATATTTACTCTATATTAATTGACAACTTTGTAAATTCAGAAATTCGAAGCAATGGATCATAATGCACACGCTTAATTTTCCAAGTATGAAGTTAATATCACGTAATCCAATGTCAGATTCATTTTTCTATTCCCTAGGGCTGTAAATGTTGCGAGACCTTAGTACATTATTTCCGATTGTCGTCACAGCCTTCAGTAACTGCAAAGAGTTACGCGAAATTTCGAACTTACATTTGTTGGCTGGGCGAATTTTTTAGATCAGCCATATGTGATATGCTTTGGAAAAGTAATATTGCTGTTTTAACAATGACGTCAGATTGGTTTCGAAATTTGTTTACATCAGAGTCGATCACTGCCTTATTGGCCTTATTTGTCTTTAAGGTTTTGTAACTTATGGACTAAAAATTAATTTAATTGGCCCTGATTTCGCAACTCAAACTGAAATTATGAATGACGAATGTGTGTAATCTTATGCTACGAGAATTGCAACTTTTGTTCTTAAGAAATTCACAGAGAGCATTCACCCACTACATTGGGATAATGTGCCATGTGCGCCTTTAATCAGCACAATGTTAGTGTGTCGTTGCGATAACCAGAATCAAAAAATGGACGCCTAATGAAAACCAATAATTACAGGTGATTATTAAATAATTTAGTGCCGATTCGGCGTCAGTTTACTCGCATTTTAATACAACGAGGAGCTCTTCTTCAACTGTTTAGAGACAGGAATCACAATATTTCATGGGTTTTTGTAACCCAAGTCACGCAAATTTATTTTAGGCCGCGAATATATGTGCGTTGTATTAAAAGTAGGTTTAACAATATTCATTCCTTCTTTTAGTCTAGTTTTATATCAAGAAAAATTAAGCCATTGTGTGCATTTGCATTGCTCTATATTTTACATATACATATACGCTTAATAACAATGACACAACTCAATGCGCAAAAGTAAACAAAAATATAAACTACTTAATCGTCACTTTTCACTTTAGACATTCGCAACAAATTACCGAAAGAAACGAGCCCTTTTCATGTTGTATACAAGATATTGCCTAGGTCTTGAATAACTCCAAAATTGATATCACTACTCAAATTAGCTAGAAAGATTTAATATCAGTCAGCATAACCCATAAAAACCAGCACCGGTCTTTTAAGAATACACCAAATCATAACTTACTGTACGATTGTACAGATTCTGCTCGTGATCGAGTTTTCGTAGACAACGCATGAGTCAATAAAACGAGCCGCGAACCTAAGTTTTCTAAAGAAATTGCGCATGGATTTTATATTCTACATGGCACGTGACTAATTGTGTTTCTTTTAATGAGCTAAGTGGTGGGACGCACGATAGTGATAAAAAGCGGCGAAGTTCACTAGCGGGTTTTCGTTGTGGAAAGTTAATCACGATGGCCGTCCCAATAGCTGATTTTGAGCTTACAATTGGAATGAATACCGAGACTCAGTTTTACAGAATAAAAAGAGGTAGTTGTTGTATCCGTGTTCCTTCATTGTTTACTCAGATTGGATAATTCGTTTTAAACTTGATAACACTCTAATTGGATTGCATGTGAGGTTCTTTACAAATTATCCCGTCTCCGGGGAGAAGTTTGTTCGCTCCAAGTTTTATGAGCTTTCAATCACACCAGCGAAACCTACATTAAAGAAATTGGACAGATTTGATGACTATTTTGTACTTGGACCAATTAAGCACTCGGGTGCTTTTCATTTCGCTTTTACTACGGATTGCTCCGAGTTCACTCCAGAAATGACTAAAAACAAAGACTTCCTTTTATATGGTGGTCAGGGATTTTTCGTTGTTGAAAGCCGATTCTGTATTGGCAGCCCAGAGGATCTGGATCGCTTTTCCCAATGGGACCTCGAGGGTGTAGTTATGCAGACTTATATTGCTAAAAATCTAGGATCATTTAGCGAATGGCGTGATCGGCTAAGAGTTGCTTATGAAACCGGCTACAATATGATTCACTTTACACCTCTCCAGGTTAGCTAAATGTCAATGCGTGTGTTTACATTCTGAACGTTCGGATTTTCGGTGGTCATTTTTTTTCAAGATCCAGTTTAAACCAGTATTGAATTGATCAAACAGTCTGCTTTGTCTTACTAACATCAAATCATTAGTTTGCAATAGTAGAAAGTCGGTTGGAGATTAAATTTTGGCATTGAACTTTCTCTTATTCCCAGAATTGTATTTGCAAAATTGACCATATCGTTTTAAGGAACTAGGCGTTTCCAGTTCTGGGTACTCAGTCAAGGATCAATTGGTGGTTAACCCAAAATTTTCTGAAGAAGGACTAATTAAAAAAATCGGCTGGGAGGAAATAGAGGATTTAGTGAAAGAAATGGAAACTGAGTGGTCTGTGCTCAGTATGACTGACTTGGTGTTGAACCACACGGCAGTTGATTCGCCTTGGATCCAAGAACACACGGAGTGTGTTTACAACCTTGAGAATTCTCCGCACCTTGTGCCCGCCTTCATTGTGGACTATGTTGTTTGGCGAATGTCGCAAGATTGCGCCGAGGGCAAGCTCGTCCACAAGCACATTCCTCCGGGATTCAGTCATTCGGACACCCACATGGCTGCCGTGAGGAATTACCTCGTCGACGAGCTTAAGCAATTAAAGCTTCATGAGTTCTTTCAAGCTGATATCGCCGTCGTATCAGAGGAATTTAAACAGTGGCTTGGTAAGTTGTAGTTTAGTAGTCGTCTCATGATCGGTTATTCATTGTGATCCATGATGCAGAAGTTCTGGCCAGTTGTCAATCCTATTTTTGCAGTCGTAGTTTCCCTAGGTGCTTGACATCTCGGAATTCGACTCCCTAATGACTCCACGTGTCCGTTAGTCATGATTTAACCCGATAACCTTGTATAGTTTGACTGGTGGTTAACCAGAGGTCTCTCCTAAATTTAACTTCAGCGTCAGGAGAGGAAGAGGCGCCCTACGTGGGCAAGGACAACGCGCTGACCCTGCGCATAGTGGGTTCACGCGCGGGACACCGTTTCGGTGCCACCGTGGACTTCCAGCTGGCCAAGGAGATTTTCGGTCACGACACACCCGATGTGGCCGCGCACAACTTGCACGCTCGACTAACTGACATGAATCGAAATATCGAGGAAACTACAATGCACAATCTATGGTGCGCTGTTGACTGTGTCGTCAGCGGGACACGCTACCGGTTCTTCGATCCGTCGGGACCTTTGCTGGGCACCGTGACTGAGACGACACCACTTGTTGAACCGTACGCACTGATATCAAATTTTGTTAACTTTGTGGATCGTGTGTGTCTGTTAGGAAAAGATTGAAAATAAGTTGCATTACTCGTAAACGCATCACAATTGTCTATTCTGAAAGCGCCTCAAATTTCATTTTAATTGTTTGGGTTGATCACTTTATGGGTTAGTTTAATTTAACATTATATGTATGACCTAATTTGTACAGATTTTTCGCTCAAGTTTAAAATTATGTTTACATGTAAATATTTTGGCGGCATTTTGTGCTTTTGAAAGGATTGGATGCAGGGTTTTAGAACAACGAATACCAAGTCCACATGAGTTAATCACCACGTCGCAAAACATCACAGTTTACGATGGCACTGCATTTTGTACGAATTCCAAGAAGGAGAAAATGCTTCTAAAGAACAGGCGAGTCTGTTTGTAGTATTCTTCGTGCCGGCGTTGCGTCTCATGCGCCGTGTAATTACTGGGACACATGTTTTAGAAGTGGTGATTTCGATGTTAGTGACCAGCCGCACCTCGGACAACACCCTCGACGAAAGTTTGAAGACGCGGAACCGCAAGATCAACTGGTTAAAGACTCAACGAAAACACAGCAAGTGCTTGCAGCTTAGTTAAGAGTCATGCAAACAGCCATTTCCAAGCGTTTGCACCATCAAATGGGGAAAAATATGGGTATTGGAATTTGGTGTGTTGATCGAACACAACCTTGGTCGACGTGTGAACACATGCCGTTAACCTAATCACGAACTCCTGCAAACTGGTCGTCAAACGGTGACTGCAGAAAGCTACAGCCGACAAATGGACAAAGTGAGCTGGAAACTTGATCAGAAAGGGCCGTTGACTGGGCGAGGAAGCAGGCAAGCCGCACTGCTGCTGCAGCTCCTGCATGACAACTCTCGATCACCTCACGCTGCTCGCGTTGCGGCTCAGAACTTGGCACGGGAAGTTCTCCCACACGCGGCGAACTCCTCACCAGACGTGGCCCATCCGACTGTCATTTGTGCCGGTCAATGCAGCAGCAGCAGCAGCAAACCTTGGTGGATAACCAGTTCCCAAAATGCGGTGCGATGTGCGTAAATTCGTCATTAACTTGATTGCCTCGAAGCCTGCAAATTTCTTTCGCGCGTGCATTCGTACATTAACTGAGACGGCTCAAGGTCACAGGAGAAGATGGTCAATATTTTCAAGACTAAGTTCTTTGTTCGCTAGTTTTTTAACACTAAATAAATGTGCTCAAGAATCTGTACAAATTGAGTCATACACTTATAACTTATTCACTGTAACACGTGATGCTACCAGTTGTCGAACTTGTTACCTACACTGAATCCTTTTTGTCTACTTAGATATTTCTTGTTTCCGAAAGAGAATTTGAACACCGTAGCCGATGCGGAGAACTTGGCTTTGAGCGACCAGGCCAAATATGTAATGGCCTGCAATGGTTGGGTAATGAATGCCAATCCCTTGAAGAATTTCGCCGATGTTGACTCCAATGTCTACTTCCGTCGTGAACTCATAGTCTGGGCTGACTCTGTGAAACTCCGGTAAATTTATTTTGGACTCTTAAGCGTATCCTTTGGTTGGTAATTCTTTACGAATGTCTTAGGTGTGTAATAAGGATTTCTTCCAGATGACGTTGGATTGTCTGTGTCTCTAAACTTCCGATGACATCTTGGTGGGATTTGACGAAATGAGACGCCTCGAATTTTGATTGGCTTTGTAATGTTAAAAGATAACCAATCAGCGTTTGGTAACCTGATTTTGCATTTTTGGCAGACCCTGCCCTGTTGTGGTTTATTCACGCGATCGATTACTCATCGTGCCCTACAAGTGTTATCAAAATCAGCCACTTTCATCTTGTACGCGTAATTAACGTTAGTCGACCAACTCACTAACGTCGACTCAGTAGCCAATCTAAACGCCAGTTTGTAGATCCCGATCGTTGTTATAGCTATGGCGACAAACCCGAAGACTCCCCCTACCTCTGGGATCGGATGCTCGAGTACTCACGCATGACGGCCAAAATCTTCCACGGCGTTCGTCTGGACAACTGCCACAGCACTCCACTGCACGTCGCGCAGGCCATGCTCGACGCCTGTCGTGATGTTCGCCCGAACATTTACGTCGTCGCGGAGCTCTTCACCGGTGACGAGGGCACCGACAACATCTACTTGAACAAATTGGGCATCAGTTCTCTTGTGCGCGGTACGTGTCAAATCATCAAAATGACACGATTCTTTATCGAAGGCAATTGCTTGCTGTGTCATAAGGGTTGGGCGTGTTTTGTTAGCACAGTCGACAATGCGTTTAAAGATGGCAGCACTGCTGAAGTTGTTGGCGAGACCCCACCTCCTGTAGGACCAAGTTTTCCAACTTTTCAAAGAAATCGTTTGATGCTGGTTTCCAGCATTTCTATCTAGTCAACTCGTCGTTGGTAACGTGATTGATGTATTTAGCTTCTCTACCCCCCAACAGAGGCCCTTTCAGCGTACGACTGTCATGATCAAGGCAGGATGGTCCACCGTTTCGGCGGTATGCACCCCGCCGGTGGGTTTCCGCACGCCATTCTGAAGCGTCGCGTGACGCCGAGCCTGCCGCACGCAATCTTCTACGACCAGACCCACGACAACCCCTCGCCGGCCGTCAAACGCACCGTCTTCGACTACCTGCCGTCGTCGGCCCTCGTCACGATGTCCGCGTGCTCCGTCGCCTCGGTCCGTGGCTACGACGAACTCGTGCCGTACCAGATCGACGTGGTCAACGAGACGCGCCCCTACGCCAGTTGGTTCCAGCAGATCAACATCGCGACGGGCATGCTTCGTGCCAAAAACGCCCTCAACAAACTGCATCGTTGGATGGCTGCCAACAACTTCCACGAGACGTTTGTCGACCAGGTAAGATCATTTCGCTTGTGTGTGTGTGTGGGCTACCTGGGGGAATCTTTATTTCTTACGCCGAAGGCACGCTTCGACTTCATTGTATTCGTTTCACTGAAATAGATCTCCGTACCGCAGAACTGTTTGCTAATTTTCCATTGATCAGTGTTTGAATTGTAGAGGCTAAGACGTAGACTAGAATTGCAATAAACACCCTGTGATGGATGGAGGTATGACGCCATCCAATCAAAATTAAAAACGACATCGTAACACATCAAGGATGCTGCCAATCGGTCTCGTAGAATTGAAAAAAGTGGAGGTCAGAGGTCGAGTGCTGGCCGTAGTCATCGGTTCATTGACGAAAGACGATGGCTGTCTGCCAAGTTGTTGAGAATGCGGAACAACGACTAGCTGTGCACCTGGCCGTATAGATAGGCCAGTAAGCACTCCGTAGAGTTGAATCTGAGGTACGCATTTTCCATAACTTTGAACTACTAGACACGTGAATGAGGCCTTTAGAAGCGATTAACCCCCCAAGACGTATTAATCAGCCGTTGAAACCCTCGAAAACGACTTTGTTTTTTGGTGTAATTCAGGTCGACACAAACGTCATCGCCGTGACCCGCCTCAGCGTGGACACCGCCGAGTCCATCGTGATGGTGACGCACTCGTGCTTCTTCGACCGCAGTCCCCACCCCGGGCACACGGGCTTCCGTCGCATCGTGGTGAACGGTCGTGTGCGTCGCATCCTAATCGAGGCGCGCACCGTCAACCACGCCCTCGGCAACCCCATGGACGAGTTCAAGCGCAGCGACAGTGTAAGTTTGCTGCCAACGAAAAACCACCCTGCTCCCACTGATGAGACCCTAAAAAATGCCATCTTCCAGTCGCAGTCTGCCGGCAGTGTATGTGTGTTGAGGGTCCCGGCATGTTGTCTTGAACTACGCCGGGGCCACTGCGACAGTCTAGGCCGAATATGTTACCCTGTGTGTCCCCGAGAAGATGAAGAAGACCGGAGTGAAGAAGGCACAACCGTTTACTAGCCAGCTCAACCAAGTTATGTTGTGATGTGATGATGAAGAATTGTTGAATCACGTGCGACCTGGTGTGCCTGTCGTAGACTAATCATCGCGCAAAGTGCGCCGAGAATGCTCGCAGGACGACGCACTGACGCAGTGGTCACGAGGCTGAGAAGTCATGAGATGTTACAGCCTGGAGCGTGATGCGTTAGGACCATAACTTGATTGTCCATCGTCTTCTGTGCCCTTGAGCCGCTGTTAGTGCGTGCGGCTGGTCACTAACATCGAAATCACCACTTCTGAAACATGCGTACCAATAACTACTCGCCCCAGGAGACAGCGTCGGCCTTAACAACGCTGCAAATAGACTAGGCCTGTTCTTTAGAAGCATTTTGTCCTTCTTGGAATTCGTACAAAATGCAGTGCCATCGTAAACTGTGCTATTCTGCGACGTGTTAGTCCAATCCTGTGGACGTGTTGTTCGTTGTTCCAAAACCCTGCATCCAAACCCTCCAAAAGCACAGAATGCCACGTTGAAACATAATTTTAAGCTTGAAGGAAAAAATCTGCAGGAATTGAGTCATAGGCGTAATATCTGTAGCTAAGTCGTGCCTTCTGAACTTGATGGTCGGTTACGTGGATTTGCCTAGTTTACGTTGGCGTCATGAAGCCTTTTTCATTGGTCAGAAGCCTGTAACCAATAGCGTTTATCGAGCCTGTTTCCCGGTGGGGTTAGCATGAGCGCCTGGAAAGTGGCTCTCCGTGAACCCCCACTACTGCAGGACAATCAAACCGTGACAAAATGATGGTGATGGTGATGTTGTTTACGCTAAAGCGATCGAATGTGGCAGGATGTTTAACGTCTCCGTTGATAAACAAGATTTAGTCGTCAAGATTTAGTCCATGCGAATAAGCCAGTAAGCCTTAACCGCTTGTGATCCAGCGATAGACAAAAATTACTAGTGCTTTGTGCTTCCTTAAATTGGGTCAAAATTCATTAAAAATTATGACCTCTCATAAATGGATACACGACTTCGTTCTAGCCTTCGTTTCCATAGGCAAGTAACTGAAGTTGGTAGCTGGGTTTGGACGAATTTGTTGGACATTCTTGGTTCATTCACTTGGACCCGTCCCCCTCACAATGGAGGTAGAACCGTCCTCCGAATCACGTGTCAGCTGATTTGCTAAAGTTCGAAAGTAGAATTTCTTTGGCGGCGAGGTGTTTTCAGTCTCCAGACACCAGGTTTCTGTCTGCATACGTTTTCCAAGAAAAAGCTTATTTCGGGCTAGAAGGTAGACAGTGAGGTCAAGCGAAGGCTTATTTGTCTCCCGTCAAACCTGCCCATGCACGAATGTCGGTGTAGACTACTGAAACAAACTCCAAATCTGTTTTAATTGGTTGATTCTACAAGCCGAAACCGTGGAACGGACGGCGTTCTGTCCCTCTGGTTCAGGTTTCTGCCGTTTACTGGCGGTATGAAAGTGGCGTGAAGGAATCATGCATAAAGATGGTGTCTGCTTTTGGTAACCGAATGCAATGTTTGCATTTTAAAGTCGTCGTTTCGGGGGAAATGCTGACACTAGGAGGTCATTGGAGGGCAGAGTGTTAGCCTTCTAG